CTTTCTTTATTCCTCCTCATACAACTTTTCCATACTTCTAATAATTCTGAAACCCTGTCTACAATATTTTCTCTGAAACAAAGTATAATACAGTCTTATTTCATAAGCCAATAACAAAGTATTGCTTTCTTCTATCTAATGTTCTCTACCACTCTTCTCTTACTCACTGTATTTTCAGACATTATATACCAGATTTGCAACTTGTATGTTTAGAAGGTCAAAACGTCCACTATGTGAGGCTCTGTTTCACAATACTCTCAAGATGCCAGCCTGAAACCAATATATCAACCAAACATGTCAAGTATACCAGTATATCAATACCTATGTAAACATACGTAAATTCTCTAGCCATTTTCCATTCTAACCCAGAAACTCCCCAAATTTTCTTTTTTATATGGTAACCAACTGTATTTCCTGGGCTCTACTTTTTTTTTCCTGAAACAGAACAGCTACGAGCAGATAAACCTAGTATGCAGGCACAGACATCGTGGACTAGACTGTGCTACACCACAATTCTTTCAAAATAGGCCAGTAGAAAACACTGATCATCAACATGGTTTGTAAGTGAATGTCTCATGGCAGACTGGTAACACAAAACTATTATGCAGATAGATAGACACATATGCATATACACAAATTATTTTATTTCTTCAGTACAGGACTGTCCCAGGGTAGAAAAAACATCTTGGGATAAGGACATGGTCAGAACATTCTGGACTGCAAGACCACCATTAGGCAGACATAAATACAAGCGTGACAACATTTGACTTGCATCTGAATCTTCTTTAACCTTATTTCGAGTATTAAATTTGCCACAGAAGCAATTCAAAAACTGGTAGGCTTAAGCGACATTTTCTCCAAACTGCTAGGGTACAATTTCTGTTCCTTGCCTCCTGCCAGAAACCGCACAAACTCCAGCCTCAGCAGCAGTCATGCTCTTCCAAAACACAGTGTTTCTGCAGTTCCAAGAAACACTATATTGTGAACAAATATTATATGGAAATCCAGTGTAAGTGGTATGATAAAATTAAGGAATTATGAGTGATTATACACTAATAGGCAAAATTCGGCCAAAAAGAACGAGAAAAGTAAGTCCAGAATCAACATGTTGTGTACAGTTAGTCTATAATAATGACTGAAAAATTCCTAGCTGTGAACAGTGTTGCAACAGTATGGAGAATTTCACTTTTTGATTGTGTATCTACCTCAAGATAGACAAAAGTCCACATTCAGACTGCCAAGACCCAAAGCTCAGCTGAAATAGAAAAGAAAAACTCTCCTGTTCAAATGCCACTGCAAGTGCTCAGACCCCACTCTTCTTGGCCACTGTTCACCCAGTAAGAGATGCACAGGCAAGGCCTCAGTTCCAGACTAACTGTGCTCCATGCAAGACCCACCTCTGTAGTACACTGAGCAATGAAACAGTTTATTTAATCTCCCCTCAGGAGATAAAGGGACCCCAATTACATAATACATTATAAAAAAGTACAAATTATACAGCTTTTGGAATTGTTTTGGAACAGCTAGGCAACATAGTGTAGAAGACTCTTGGGCTAAACTGAATTTTTTATTGACAACTATATAACTCATTGCTGCTCAACTCATTAATGAAGATAAACCTTATCATTAATCTTGTGACTGAAAAGAGTTTGCAAGTGAGGCCACAAAGAATGAACAGACAAATTACTATATGTAGATTTCTATTACTTAAAAAGTTTATTAAAAAAGTATGTATACTTTGTATGTATTTACTTCAAGATAGCATCTCTGCTGATGTCACTCTAAATTTACTTGATGCTTCTAGACTATGCATTACTCTTTTAAATTGAGCTTATAATGTTTAACATAAAACTCATGCCTCTGACATTTTGTACATATTTACAGTAATTACAAAGCAATTTTGTATAAACTTTTACAGAACTATCAGCATTCTGAATATATTATGCTTAACACAAGTGTCTCATCTCTACCTCTCAGGAATAGTTGCCTTATCCGAATTTCATTTAGTTTCAGGTCTCCTTCAAGTAGAAGGCAATGAAAATGAAAAACATGAAAAGAACTTCGTGAATTAAGAAGCCCTCCAAATTAATGTAGAAGTGCAAAATCTAAATCTGTTTTTGTTGTGCAATCATACTTACAATGAGAATCAAATCTTTAGTTTTGTCTAGCTTTAATTACAGCAAAGAAGAATAACATACTACGTGGACACTGTTACTCATTATCTACCCAGTATCTTTAATTCAGACATGGTGTATCAGATCCTAGAATACTTTGATTGCATAAAGGAGGGTGAGTGTTTTGTATCTACAGGAGTGACTCAGTTCAGATAACTGGTTAATTAAACTGTGACAAATACAGAGGTGGAAACTAAGCTTTTTAAAGGAACATAGCCCATGAAAAATAATCACATTTCTATTAAAAAGTTCTATTTCATATGACAGAAAAAGGTGCAACATGCAGCTATTATCATTACTATATTTTACACTGTGAATACTATGCACCTTCAACTTTTTTTTTGAAATTTTTGAAAGATGAAATGCATTTCAGTAGGATTAAGATTATGGATGCATCCTTTCATTTTCCCCCCAGCAATCTCTTTAAAAAGAGAGCCTTATCAAAAAAGGAGTATTTAAGCAGAACAAGCAGCGTCTGAAGGATCATCCTTTAAGCATTTCAGCAGCTGGACAGAACCACACAAGACTATTTTGGACCTCTGATAGGAGAGCAGTACAACCGGATTTTAGGTCCTGGGCCAAATTAAAGTGATAGACAACAGGATAAGGTTCCGGACAACCTAAAAACTTGACACAATTACACAGAGCTTCATAGTAGGATCAGTCAAATGGATCAGTTCAATAGGCTTTTTCCTAACTTGAGTAGTTATGCCCAAGCACTACTGAGGTCATCACAGAAAAATAAGAATCGCTCCCAGAATAAGGCATTTCTACAACACTTTATTTCTGCACATCTTCTCTGAAGCCTGCCTGAAAGAGCTCCAAGCTGGCACAACACTCATTCTTCGCCATTGTGTAGTATGCTACTCAGTACTCAATCCTATTTCTCACTTCAAACATTTTCTTGAAGTTAAAATACTTCAATAAAGCTTCATAAAGACATTAGGAAACAACCTGCTTTCAAATAACACTGTACAAGTTAACACAGCTGCCATGTTAGTGTTAGAAATGACATAGTGACTCATAGTGCTGCACATTACCGTAAAAGTTCAAATTATGACACATTTATGAAATAAACTCATAAACAGAGGAATTGAACATATTAAGTGAACAAGTTACAGAGAAAATAATACCTCCTGAAAGGACGGCTAAATCTGTTTCTTGAACAACATAAGATTCGCCAACATTTCAGACGTACCTCCTACCTCTACTAAACAATATACAAGACTCTTAGCAAGGCTCCTTATCCGTGAGAGGGCGTAAACCTGCACCAAATTGCTAAGATTTTACCAGGTCACCCCAAAATCCAACCGAATACCCATCCAGGTCAACAGACTTCAAGCCCTTTCCTACAAGCAAACATTAGATTGCACCCGTCATTGCCCAGCCATGGACCACTTCCAAAACTCATTATTCTCTTGACTTTTCAGTTTATGTGAAATATCGCACAAATCCACAGCATGTAACATTGCTAGTATGCAGCTCATTTAAATGACTAAACCTTTTTCATTGCAAGTTCTCTGCAGTTTATTCTTGGTAACTTTCAGACTGATTTTTATCTCTTTAGATCCAAAACGCATGAGTATTTTTTAATCGCTGCTGGCGTTGGTTATCGTTTGAAAACTGTGCTGAAAGAAGGTACGTTTTGGGGGAACATCCCATGTCTTAAAAGCGTATCCTGCTGCCTGGTTTGACACCCACCCCAGTACTGGCACGTTCTCCACCTCTCCTGACCGCAAAGGCAAGAAGCCGGCAAGAAAGGAGAAGCACCCAAACACAGGAGCTGAAACTGAAAAGACAGTCAGCAGCTCTCTGGAGACTTACACTGAAATCACCAAGAGCGACAACACTGCTGGCACCAGTGCCTGCGCACTGCTGCCGGGTCTCAGCGCTAAGCTGGGCGGGCAGCGTTACCGGCAGGTCCCCCGCCCCTCTG